ATTTAGGAGATCCAGGTCTTGATGTTGTTAATTGACAGACCCGGCATGACTTTAGCATTTACTGGGTTGCTGTTAAGGAACTTAAATTAAGTTACTATATTGGGGAAACCCTATTGTTTACTATATATACCCATTATGGTAACTTAATTTAAGTTCCTTAACAGCAACCCAGTCTTAGGTGAAGGTTTACCAGGAGGTTTAGGATTTCCGTTTAAGGAGTTGGGTTTAGGGTTTAGGGTTGCGGGGGGGAGGTTCTCAAGAATTAGGGTACTTTACAAGGATCGTGGAAAATCAAATGGAAACTACTGTTGAGACTCTGTTGAGGGTTTAGGGTTTCCATTAGGGGTCCCTTTTTGAGGGTCGCAATAAAATCAGGACTATAGCATTTTGTCGCGTATATTGGCGTCCGCCATGCAGGGAAACTACGACCAACCTCTTGGTCACTTCGTGGGTCGTCTGGGGATGTTCACACGGAACCAAAAGGTGGTGCATGTTGCAGCTGGCTGCTTCCTGGAGAAACCAAAACGTTGCATTGGATTATGTTGACAGGGTATCGAGCTCTTAACAATTGGAACATCCCAGCTTGACTCAATGGAGCTCTACGCCTGTGGCGCCCTTACTTCGCAATGAAGTTTGCGGTAGGGAAAATGGCGAGCTTCTGAGTTTGTCGATAGGTGGTTTAGAATGTCGTCAAGGCATTTTGGTCGAAGTCTAATTGATCTTGACCTCGCATTCTGTTGGCTCGCGACCATTCTCGGCGAAAGGCGTGGCGTAGGGATTGGGGTTTGGAGGGTTTAGGGTTTAAGGTTTAGTGTTAAGGGCGGGGTCGGAGCTACCGTGCCATAGGCGGCACAAGCTGCCGCATGATCGCACATATGGTGGCAGCAAGATTTCAATCTAATTGGGGCTATATGGCCCCTCACTGATAGTGGGTACCTAGGCCCATACAGAGTTTGGTTGGAGGGTCTAGGAATATGAATGTGAGAAAATCCAACTCTACATCCGACCTGCTACTTGCATCCTTCACAACTGAGTAAATTTCCCAGGGAGCCCAGAACCCCGAAACAAACAAGAGTAGCAGGGTTTAGGGCTCAGGGTTTAGGCATTAGGTTTAGGGTCACATGACATCATCAAAAATGAGTATGAACCACAGGACCCTAAACCCTAAACCCTAAACCCTGAACCCTAGACCCTAAACCCTAAATCAAAGCTTACATGAGCTGTTCATCCCAAGGCTTCAAAATGTCAAAGGCAGGAGGGCCTCGTTGATCTCGTCCAGCAAGTCAAGGAAAACACTCCTGCTGAGAACATGTTCGGGGCTAGAGGAGCTATAGTTTAAACTCCTAGGTTCCCCCTTAATAACCCCTATAGTAGTGCCCTATAGAATCCCCTCTAGAACTCATAGACGGCAAGTCTAAAGTATAGAAGATGCCGAGGCTGACAGCGCTGTTTGTCGCATGGCATCGATTGGGCTGTGGATTGCGATTGTTTCGCGTTTACAGGTGGCAGAACCACAAGCAAAGCTTCATCCTAAACCCTAAACCCTAAACCCTTTAAAGAGGGGGAAGCAGCCCAGGGCTCCGTCATGTCTGCGTGCAGGCTTTTGGTGTTAAAAGCTTTGTGCCCTACAGGGGACCCCCAAACCCTGAGCCCTAAACCCTGAACCCTAATCCCTAAACCCTACACCCTAAGCCCTGAACCCTAATCCCTATAAACCCTACACCCTTGAAACCGCAAACCCTAGTTTTGGACAGAATGTCCCACCTTCGCCCATCCTCGCGGGTAACTCGGAGCAGACAGCCAGCCACAATGGCCTTCGCTCTGGCCACCCAGCCATTAACGGTTTTGGGGTTTAGGGTTTAGGGTTTAGGGTTTTGGGGTTTAGGGTTTAAGCGCTTAGGGTTGTATATAATCCGAGTTTCCATCTCAAATTCCTATGTACTTGTCCATTTGATTCTCTTCGTTCTTCCCTACCCAAGCCCCTAAACCTCCTCCTTTAACCCTAGTCTTTAAGCCCTGAATCCTAATCCTTAAGCCCGAAGTGTAAACCGTAATCCATAAACCCACAATGTAAACCCTAATCCCTTAACCTGAACCCCCGAACTCTGATCCCTAAAACCCTAAGCCCTAAATCTCCTTCAGGTGCAGCTGAGCTGCCATTAGGATGACGGAGATCAAGTGGTTTTTTGCTGCGTCATTCACCTGGGAGTTGTAGGGACCCTTTAAAGAAGAGCTTAAGGTTTCCCAGCCTTTCAGGCACTATGCATCTTCTTGTTCTGCTTTTGCTTAAGAGTTACGTACACATGCACAAACGCACTCTTAGTCTGCATCTGTCTCTCTGTCTGCAAACTGTCCTACGCAAGGACAAGGCTGCGTCCAAAGGACGACATTCTTCGGAACCAGCTGGTCAAAGATGTTCAACACTGCGTCAATCATAGACATCTTTGCCAACCCCGTGTCCTGGTCACAGGGCTGCAGTTTTTTGCCAGTGTAACCTACATCAATTCCAAACCCTTACGCTCAATCTGTGCCTAATTCACTCGCTGCACGAATCTTAGGCCCACGTGGTGAACCTAAATAAACCCTACAACCTTTAAGACTCGTACACGAAACCCCAAACCCAAAAGACTTCAAGCCCTGAACCCTACATCCCCACAACCGCAAAAGCCCTAAAAATCCTTTGGGTTTCAGGCTTTTTGATTTTCTTCTACTTCTGGGCCTCGGTCACGGCTGCGTCAACCGGCTTCACCGTAGATCGCAGCAATGCCCAGGAGACGGCACAGCCCTGGCACGCACTTGAGATGTTTAGGGTCTAGAGCTTTTGGGGTCTTGGGGTTTAGGGGCTTCGGCTTTAGGGATCGGAGGGTTTTGAGTTAGCATTTAGCAAAGGCTTTGGGGGTTTAGAGTTAAGAGATCTAGGGTTTAGGGGCTTAGGGTTGAGGGTTCTAGGTTTGGGTTTTTTCGGTGTGAAGAGCGCACAGGAGCCTTTCCAAAGGCTATTCTACCTCAAAGGTTTAAGCCTTAGCGTTTCTGGTTTTGGGCTTGGGATATAGGATTTAGCGTTCAAGGCTTCGGGTTTAGGGTCTAGAGCTTCGGACTTAGGATTTAGGATAAGTCTCAAACCATTCCAGCACACTTCCGCACCAAGTGTGTGTCGCATCAAGAAGCATCTGGCGTTTATTTTCAAAGATGGCCACGGAAGGCGTACTCGAGGTTCATGGGGCTTAGTAACTTGGGTTGTAGCGCTACTTGTGATTAGGGTAACCCCCTTAAGGCCATTTAGGGCATTGAACGTGGAGTTCTACGCCCAGTTGTAAGTGGTTTCTCTGGCCCTTGAACCACCAAGTACGGGGACTAGAAGTTCCGACTTACTACGCAGTTACAGATCTAAGTTAGGGTTTAGGGTTTAAGGTTTGGGGTTTAGGATTTGGGGTTGGAACTTCATCCAACTCGGGAGTTACACTGTTGCAAACAGTTGCCTGCAGCCATCTCAGAGGGCGTTGTTTACTTGTTCCACCCACTGGAGCCAAAACAAGGTATGCGAGAAAGACTTTCTTCTTGACAGCTTCAACCGAAAAGGCCTTTCACATCCCAAACCTACCAATGGAAACGGAAGTGGCGGCCCTTCCAGGCGTGCTAATTCTTAAGTTTTACAGCAGGCTTCTATTGCTTTGAAACTGCTGGACATAGTGGGGTATATACTGGAAAAGAAAATGGAAATTGCAACATTATTATAGGTTATACATTGGGCTAAAGAACCCTATTTCCCTCACCGCCAACATGCGGCAGCGCTGGCCTCTCCTCGCATTACCGCAACCCACGCTGACTAACTGATCAAAAGGCACAACGCAGTCGGCCTCTGCAGCCGCTATTACCTGGAAACTAACATGGATGATCGGATGTGTTTAGCTGTTTAGGCTCAAGAAAATGTTTATTCATCTCTTGCTGGGATTCATGGTATGCTGATGGTACGGGGGAACTTTCCTGGAGTCACGAAAGAATTTGCTAAACAAAAATGGGATTCATGCAAGCATGCGGCCACCATAGTAATTTCGTCTGTGCTGTAAACATCATCGTACTGCTTGCCTAAACCCTAAACCCTGAACCCCTCAACCCTAAACTCAATTGCATCCTTGTGGTCATAGGCAGTTGCCATGATTCATTCCCACCTTGCTCTCAGCTAGCACACATACTCACACGGGCCCACTTGCTAAGATGTATCGCGCATGTGGCTCTTGAGTTCATGATCAAGAAAGATCTAATGTTTAACCTCTTCTCACCAGCTTTGCTGTCAAGCACTGTCGCCATAACCGCCAATCCTTGCGCTGTAGGCAGTGTACCGACACTGTCACTCAAAATTGATTTTAACCATGCGGTCACAGCTCAAGCTGAAGAACGCAACATGATCGCTAAAGCAAAACACGTCAAAGCCTCTTGCGTCCGAAGGACCGTGGTGGTGGTGTAAAGCCCTATCACCCAGACTGCAGCGCTTCGCGCTGCGGGCAGCTCTCGCATCATCACCTGAGCCAGCGTTGGCAAGGCATCCCGGAAGGTTGTGACTAACCTTTGTTACTAGTAGCCTGAGCGAGGTCTTTCTCCGCAGGAAAGGCAAATGAGGTCAGGAGCTCGTGGAAAACGAAACTCCTGCTGCACTAACATGCAAGGCTGCAACACCTTCTCGATATTTTTGCCCACCAATCCCCTCAAATACCGCGCGCCCGGACTGTACAGTATGCAAGCTTGCAGTTCAGGGTTACCAAAAGATCCGTGCGGAGGGGTATTCCGAATGTTTTTGGGTGGTCTATTTTTGGGACCGCTATCGCTTCAGAAACTACCATAACCCCCAAGTACACCCGTTTTAAACTTGATTTTCCCTTGCCCCAGTTTCCATTGCATCATTGTAATCCCTTCACCACCACCTCATAATACATAATCCATCCGGGACCCTAAAACTTCCTCACGAGCATTTTAAAAGGGGTTGTACTACATTTAAAAGGAGCCAGACCATAATGAATTAAGGGGGGTTTTGAGGTCATTAGGAGTGTATAACAGAAAGTGTGAAGGAATTAGGGATCCCCTTGACATCCTAGGTTTTGGTTGATTTTCATACGGTTTTATAGAGGAGTTTATATGCAAGAACTGATTGCGATTTTAATTGATTATATTACAGTTTTAGCCGTATTTGATTAAATCTCAATTGAATTTCATTCGATTTCAACTGATTTTAAAAAGAATCTTAATTAAATTTCTATTGATTCTAACAGGATTTTAATTCGATTCAAATTGATTTTGAAAGGAAGTTTGATTAAATTTCAATTGATTCCAACAGGATTTTAATTCGATCTTAATTGATTTTGAAAGGAATTCTAATTGAGTTTCAATTGGTTCGGATTTTAGTTCAATCTTAATAATTTCAATTGATTCTCACGGGATTTTAGTTCGATTTTAATTGATTTTAAAAGGAATCGGCCCTACCAAATCCTGTCAATAAATATGCCCCCTAATAATAATTAATTTCTGACCCCCCGGATTATTTACTATTACGGGAGAGGGGGGGGGACGTCGTTTATTATTAGGGGGAAGAGATTATTTGCCATTTCAGTTTCTGTTACGGGCCGCATATATGGGTATCTAGCTCATGTATGATCTCTAAAATATAGGTTCAACGCTTTTGCCAGTCCACATCTCGGAGTTTTCGTGTTCGGCCCAATTGACAAGTCTATACCTTAAGGTGGATTTATGAGCGGCCCCGATTTCGATGGACATAACCACATGCTGCTTGATTTGGCCCCGCCCCCTGCAAGCCGCAGCTGCCAGCATTTGGGTGTTTAGGTGGTTGGAAGGCGAAACAATTAGGATTCGCCTGGCCCATGTTACCACCAAAGCGTTTATCTTCCACACATTACGAACCACACACAAGAGCGTCCCAAAATCCAGCAGCTCATTTTTGACAACCTTGATCCACCTTCATGCCGATGTCGCCTAACTAGATGTCACTGCATGCATGGCGGCTGGTTTGTGAGTGCAGCCTTGCTGCCAGGGCTTCACACAACGCACGCTGCACTCAACCCGCACAGAACAAGTTGCGTCTCATTCACGGTCCGCATTGTCATGGGATGTGAAGATTCTAGGTCCGCATGCTGGAAGGCGGATTCACAGTGCAGGGAGGCGGTGATTGGACACACTCGTCTCAGCATCTCCTGACGCATCATCTTATCGTCACTCGTGGCTTGACCTTGCCGGTGCCCTGCCAAAACTGAAGAGCATGTGCCGAGCGCTTACGTACTCAATGGGCACCTTAAAACTTGCATGAGGCAACAACCAGGACTGACCTCGCCTCCTCCCTTCTCCCCAGGTGTCTCCACATCCTGACTTTTCGGGATGGCGCGTGCCAAGCACACATGCTTCGCGCTGAGGCAGCGGCTTCTTGGCCGGGTCCTCCGTCGATGGAGAGGCATCTCGTCCTGAGGTACTTTGATTTGGCTCGTGAGAGGCCGATGATGCGCAAGCGCGCAGGTGTACACAAATACAGACACATGCAAACGCGTACATGCACACACACACACACCAAAAAAAAACTCAAAACACACACACACACACACACAAAGAACAACGCACGCACACACTTACTGCAAATCTGTTCTGCCAAGCCCATAGATGTTCTTGCGTCGAAGGTCGAGGAGGAAGAGGAGAACACACCGTAGAGGGAGTTTGTGATAAACAGGTAGAAGTGGATGAGCTACGTGTTATATGAATGTTTGTCGAGGTTGTTCTGAACATGCCCTCATGTTGGACTCGCCACGAGTGCCCATGCACTGCACACGGTGGTCATGTTGCAAATGTCCATGCACTGCAGTGCTCAACGCCTATGCCCTCATGTTTCACGTGCTGCAAATACCCATGCGCTGTAATGTTCAATGCACACAAAAGCCCGCATGTAGGACCTGTTGCGAGCGCCCATGCAGGCCGCAGGACACGGGACATTAGGCAAAGACTGCACGCATGGTTGACAGATGTTAGTGGTGCGCGCTAAGGCGCTAACTAGCTATCTGAGGACGACAGCTGCCTTCGGGCAGAGCCCAAGGGCTGCTCTGCCAAAGTTGGCGACCCTACCCAAAGATCTCACATCTTGAAGTGCTTGAAAAACAGCATCGCCGAGCAACGGCGGCTGTCCAGCACCCGTTTCAACAACAATCATGGCTGCTTGCCAATGAGAAACCCCGAGAATGGACTGGAGGTCACCTCGATTGTTCGTATCACGGCTACGGCAGACGCATGCAAAGCCACCTTGCTGGCTTCAACTTTTGCGCGAAAAGCGGCTTGGTCCTCACCTCCTCAAGCAGCAGCAACAACACCGTCATTCTTTGCTGCTAACAATTGTATAGGATGCAGCACCATCCTTTTCAGAGCCATCCCTTGCAAATGGAAGTATTGTAAATTATCTCCTCTCGAAAGGATGC